GGGTGAGGGGGGCCGAGAAGCCCCACGGTCAACATTAGACCAGGCAGGCCCCTGCTTTTCCCCTCACCTGGGGAAGTGTCCTGAGTACTCCCCTGCCCGCGCCGCCGCCGCCGCCCGTCCCCACCACCGCTGCAGGCAGCACGCTCCTGCTGCTGGGTGCCCCTGCAGCTCGCGCCCCTCGCGACGTCGCGCCCTCGCGCGCAGGACCTGGAAGCAGGGGCAGGCCAAAGGCTACTGTCAGCACAGCCAGTGCATGTGCCACACATTGGTTGGCGCGGCTGCTGTAAAGCCCCTGCAGGTGAGCCGGACAGCGGCGACCGCCGCCCCTGGTGCGCCTGCGCGCGCGCCTGCGGCTCCAGTCCCAGGCCTGCTGCTGCAGCAGCTATCGTACTCACTTTATGTATATCAAAACGCGACTGTTTGTCCTGGCTGCGTCGTGGGGTTGGCTTCACCGCTGTTTCTTTTCCCGAATTTCTGCGCGCGACTCGTAGCGCGCCAAGACCCGCGTAAAACGATTCACACGGACGAGTTTCTATGCCACCTTGCAGGGCACCAGCCCCATTGGTCGCACTGTCGGCGTCGCTGCTGGTGACTTTCAGCAATGACGAGGCGCTCTGCAACTGCCGACCTGTGGCCAATTGACAGGTGAGCTCCTGTATGATGTGGAGGAACCCTTGGTAAAGCATTTGAGATGGGGCTGCTGGCTGGCTGGTGTGCTGGCTGCGCGATGCGGGGCCAACCTTCCGGGCTTGGCCGGCTGCAGCTGTGACAGGCCAGATTTGCTGTGAAATCTGATAACCAGGAATTAGAGGCAGCATCCCAAAAGCGCGTGTGCGGCGCAAGGGTTCATCATAGATGCAAATAATCCTGAACCGAAGAAGAGGGGCTTGTGCAGCCCCCCAACAATCACGGCCGTTTGCGCAAATGTGCCGATGGGTGGCGGCACGAGCCACCGGCTCACCGCCACCGCCGCGGCGCCCAGTCGCCGCCAGTGCCCACAAACTCCTTCTCCCCCACCAGGAACACAGTGTCCTTATCATGTGAAACAATTTGCAAGGTGGTCTTGAGCGACGCAACGTCGCGCGCGATCGTCTCCGCGGCTGTCACTTGAACCAGGCACCCCTCCACGATGCGCCGCACCTCCGCAGGCAGCAGCTCCGCGGCACCCTTCTCATAGCAGGCATCGAAGACAGCATTGCAGACCGCAGGCTTCAGGCGGCCAAAGGTGTGCTCTATGACCTTGTGCAGGTCAGGGCTGCGCGCGGGAAGCGTCAGGCGCTCGATGTGTGGCGGCAGCGCCGCCGCCACGGCCTCGGTGTTGTGGATGCTGGCGTTGTCAAACGACATGACGGGCGCGTGCTGTATGCCAGCCAGCCGCAATTGCCGCTCTGCCTGCAGCGCCAGCACCTTGATGATGTCCACAAAATCCTCCGCGCGCGGCGCCTTCTGCTTCTCGCTCTCCGGCTGCGCACAGGTGTGGGAGCATGAGGCGCGGCAAGAAGGTGGAGAAATGTGAGCCTTGGTTCATACAGGCAATCTGCCATGCTCGGAACCCCCATGTTTGGGTTGACAGCTGCGGAATACTAAATAAGCGTACTGCAGAAGGGGCCGTCCCCTTCGGCCACAGCGCCCAGGGAGAAAAATTTTACTTCTTGCTCAGCTGTGAGCGCTGCCACCTCTACTGCACCCCCCACGCTGTGACCCAACCATCCAAACTGCTGTGCCGCAAGTGTGAGCCCCCTTCCAGCCTAGCGGCTGCGCATATGCGAGCGTTCACCGCCCCCGAACTCGAGATGCACCGGCACTTGGATAGCCTCTGCCCACACGGTGCCTTTGTGCCCCAGCCCAAACTGCCATTTTGGCACGGCCAACTGGACTTCTGGAATGCCGCCGCCGGCTTGGCCGTGCAGGTCGATGGGCCCCGCCACTTTGCCGGGGCCCGTGCGCGTGTGCCGCTGGCCCAACAGCAACGCACCATCGATGCCCAAATGATTGCCGCAGCGTGGTGGGCTGGAGTGGGTTTGGTGCGCGTGCGCGACTTTGACATCGGCACACCAGCTGCTGCTGAGGCGCTGCAGCGCGCGCTCGCAGCGCGGGCGGCCGCCCCGGCGGCCCCTATACTGATTCTGACTCCTGGGTTTGTGCCTACTCTAGGTGTCTATGTGAGGGGCGACAGGGACCCATTGGCCTTCCTGCAAGATGTGATCTGCCGGCTGGTTACTAATGAGCTGAGCTGCGCCACTGAGATCGACCCATATGGCAACGTTATATTCACGCAATGCCCCCCAAGGCCCCTCACCTTGTAATCTGTGTCCCTGCGCTCTGCGGCGCCAGCGATGCGCCCGTACGCCCGCTGCTGCCACTTGTCAGGGAAGCCGGTGGTGGGGTAGGTGTACTGCCAGCCCACCAGACCCAGCTTGGCGTTGACGGCGGCGTAAAGGGCCACAATGACAGGTTTGCCGCCGACCGTGCCGCAGCCAGGCACCACCAGCCGCACCCCCTGATCATGCGCGTCACACCACACATGCACGTCCGAGGCCTTCCCTGAGAACAGCCAGATCTTGACCTCGTCCACCCACACAACAAAGTCCAGGAAACTGGGATCCTGGGCTATCAAGGCCAGCACCTTGCGTGCATAGGTCAGGCGAGTGAGCTTGTGTGCGTCGGTCAGCGCGGCCTTGACATCCACCCTGCCCCAGTGCAGCCCCGGATCGACCGCGTGCATGCGGCGCAGGAGGTGGTCAGCGGTGATGTCATAATTGTCCAGGATCTCCTTCAGCCTGGGGACCCGGCGAATGGCGTCGCCGATGGTGTGGAAGCCGTTGCGGCGCGCCGGCAGGCTTTGACTGCCACGCACAGGCCTGACCTCAAACCCCGCCTTGACGAGCTTGGCCGCCTCAGTGGCCACCTCGTCGGGCAGCTTCACCTTGCGGCCGCGCCCGGCGGCGTCCTCAACACCCGCCTCTGACTCCAAGCGCTCCCGCCACTTCTTGCAGTGCCTGGCCGCACTCTTGGGAACCGGCCCCCACTCCTCCTTCCAGACGCGCTCCAGTGCCTGCGACATGGTGAGCTCCGGGTGCTCCTGGAGCACGTGCGCAAACGCGAGCGCCACCCGCTGCTGGCAGTTGTAGTAGCGGCCCCCGGGGTCGTCGGCGCCCTCTGAGGTATCCATGCGGCCTGGGGCTGGGGTTGGATGAGGGCGGGGCACGCGGTGGTGGATGGCGGGAGCGCAGTGTGTTGCAGCGGTGGTGGGGGATGGCCAGATCTCCAAGGTAGATCTGGATGATCT